TGCAACCTGGGAGTTGGCGTTTTTCTTCCTCACCACCGCTGCATGCTCGGCCGTTCGCGCCCGGAGTAATCTTGCGGTTTCTCCGACGTAGTTAGTTTGATCACAACAGTCCCAGCTCCGATAAACGACTCCAGTCGTTTTCTGCCGTTGCAGTGGTTCTTTCGGTCTCATGACCCGGCGCCTGATGGGTACTTCTGGCCTGTGCGCAACTCTAATTCCAAGTGGGGTGAGCAGGTGGCTGACTGCTTCCGATACATTTTTCATGTGCAGAAGAACTCGCCAAACAGGAGCTGATAATTACAGTACGCACGCGGATGACCGCTACGAACTTTAAACACCGTGGAATTTGCGCATGTATCAAGACAATCTGCGCATGTCCTACACTATCCTACGGTTACCCATGATTAAGCATTTTCGACAGAATCCGAAGCGCCGGGGAAATAAAAATTATTGTTACAGTGGTCGCAAGAAAAGGACCATCACACGGCATATTCCAGTTAACGCTGAGTCAAACGAATCTACCAGTGAATGGTTTCACTGTCGAAGAATGATCACCGATCGCTAACGGAACGTAACCTTTCCGCCCTACCTTGGGCCTCCCTCTCGAGCCTCATCAACGGCCGCTTGACGGCTAGCATATTTTATACAGAAATGAATTACTGGGATGGTCATTTCTGATGCTTTAGCCATCATCAGCCAGTCATATCCCACTCCAAGTGATGTAGCACCCGAGGCTCGCACCCGCGAACTTTTGATCAGAAAGCCGAAGTTCTAACCACTGAGCCACAGGCTCGGGTGGTGCACCACTTGGGGTTGGGTATGGCCGCCTGATGATGACTAAAGAGTCAGAAGTGACCACCCCAGTCTCCCTTGTCTTTGTTGATAATGTTAGTTTTGCCGTCACCTGGACTCGGAGATGGAGTGTATTGCAGAGCATGAAATGCCCTCATCCAGTGACGAATAGAAGGGGTTTGACGAACTGTGGGCAAATCAGGAATAAGTATGTTGGAGATAATGACAACAAGTAACCAAAAGGGGAAAACACGATGGAAGGACTATTCCCACAACGTGGTTGAAATCTAATGGCTGAGTTATTTTGACATCAACTTTATTTTTGAAATGATATCGGCAACTGTGTTTTCCTATCGGTTAACACGATTAATGACATAGGAAAAGCAGGCAGATGAAGGATAATGGACACTTTTCTATATCTGAGCCCAGCCACGTCAGGTGGCTCTGCTACGATCACGTCAGGGTCACCAATAGTCGAAGTAGTTCCCAAATCAGAAGTCAGGGAAGACAGATAGGGTTGGACCAGCTTCTTCTGAGAAAAAGAGCGCATAGGAGGCTCTGCATGTAGTTGTCGCAAACTTTCGCTTC